TGCAGTTAATCCATAGGTTAATCCAATGTGTCTGTGTCCTCTTTGTAATGATTTCTGATAATCCATAAACAATAAAACTGCTTTTCCGTTTCCAGATGTCAGAGCGAGAGATCGCTTCACTCTGATGCAAGCCTGCATGCACAAAGCCCCCACCTTTTTGTGTTAATGTTGGTGTCTATGTGAAAACCCCCCCTTCGATTCTATTGGCTCTAAGAAGAGATTACAATCACCAAAATCAACCAATGGGTTCCAGAGAAACTGTAAAAACGCCCATTTACACCCAAATCACCCCAGAGGTGTTTTTTTTTTTCTAAACCTGGCTAAAAAGGTAAAATGTCACTTGTTTTGCATCAATCTCGATACAGGGTACTTATTATATGTTGTACTTTGGATTCCTAAAGCTTTTAGTCTACCATCCCATCATTCAAGGGTGGTTTTCACTATAAGTAATGGGTTTTTTTTTAGGCGGAGGTAAGAATTTACCTTTTTTTACCATGTTCCATCTGAATTTATTCTGACTGAGAAAAATCTATATTGATTCTGACACTTCTACATCCAACTCACAGATGTAACCTTGCTTTGATAAAAGAAATTATTCATATAACCCTTTTAGAAGTTAAGTTGTAGTCATTTGTTTTGGGCATGTCATTTTCGAGCCTGAAACATGAAAAACAGGTTAAAGCTCAATAAATAACAAAGAAGACCTTTGACCGGCACTTTTCAAATTTTGTCCGGAAGATTTCAACTTTAACGGACATGTTGACCGGCGAAAAAAAATCGAACTGAAACTCTGCCGCTCGTCCCTTGGAAGAGGCGGAGAGGTGGGTGTTTGTCATCTGCTGGTGGACTAACCGGAGAGAATTACAGCGCTTGCCTCAGGGAGGGATTGCATTGAATTACAGCAGCAGGAGCAAACGCTTGCCTCGGGGAGGGAGAAAAAGAGCCAGAGCGTCCACAGCGGAGAGAATAAACAGAAGGGCAACCATGGCAACCATGCGCGGGAAGTCTTCTTCGCTGCTTTTGTGGCAGACTACAGCGCCACTTACAGGCCTGGCATATGTACTACAGCGTCTACAGCACTTTCGAGTGGGAATGGCCGTGGCCGTGGCCCAACCCCCCATTCCCCTGATAGGTGGAGAGTAGCCCATATAGGCGGAGCACCCCTTTTCTGACGTCAGAAAAATTAACGTCTGTATCAGCTCCGTTGCAGCCCCGTTTTTAGAGATTTGGGTATGGAGGAAAAGAGAGAGGGTTGTGTTTTCTGACACTTGGTGAGTTCCCTGACACACCAGGGACATATATTCATGTATAAAAGACGTACAAAAGTGCATTTTGCATTATAGGTCCCCTTTAAAAAATTGTATTCAATCCATATATTTTTGGAAAGGGAAACTGTGCGCAAACAGCAGTAGATATATATTCATTCATAACATTTCAGGGTAAAATACTGACTTGACGTAAGTAACTATCTGGGGAAGTTGTGAGGTGATGCGTTTTTTTGTTTTATCCATTTCACCTGCAATGTCTTGGTAACTGCATGCAAATTAGCGCATTTTAATTAGGCCTAGTTAACGTCAAAAAAAAGGGGGAAAAAAGGGCACTTTCTCTGGAGGAAGAAAAAGAGCAGGGGCTCAAGCCCACTTTGATGTATGTGTGCACGTGCCTGCATGAAAGTAGTTACCAAATCTTTAAAAAATGAAGAGAAAAAAATAAAAAAATAATTGTGGAAGGATAAGAACTATAATGATAAATAAATAATAGAATAGAAGGATACTGCAAAAAAGACGACAACATCAATCATTTTATAAATCATTTAATAGACATATTTTGACATTTTATTCATTTTTGATTCATTATAAGGATTACATACTCTGCTATAAAAGATCTATAACTCTACATTTGGATTATTGTCTAAACTAACAGCAGTGATATACTTGGGAAAAGAAAAACTGCAAATATTCACTTCATTTAGCATATCACATGTTATGTATACCCTACATTAATTTAGTAACTAATTTTCCCTCTCTCTGACGTCTGATACTCTTTTTTAACATCTCAAGAGTCCCCTTTCTGCCCCCTTCCTCTAAATCCTGGTGCCATTAGCTCCCTCTCAGTGTTCATGTCCCTCGGTGGTCTCATATCCCAGGGTGTCTCCGAGGTGCTGGTGGGCAAAGAAGGCCCGGGCCATCTCGTTGATGTGGTTGTAGGCGCCGATGGATCTGAAGTATTCAATGTAGTTCCAGAAGTCAGAGGTGGAGTAGGGCCAGTAGGGGACAGCTGGAGGTTCTTCATATGGAACTAAAGACACACAGCAGGCCAGGGGAGGACATGAGACAACTTAAAGAATAACACTACTCTTGTATTTTATATATCACAGTTCCCAATGTGTAATATGAGGGGTACACCACTTATTTCACTTGGTACATTGTAAAATTCCCGGACTGCCTTTACGCAGAGAAAGGGTGCAACATTATAAATAATAATCAGAATCAGAATACCTTTGTTCGTTTGTTGTTACAGCAGAAAAAGAGTCAAAGACAGCTTAATGTTAACTAAGAAGCATGCATAAAAACAAACCATAATACAAAAAAACGTATAGTAGAGAGATGAGGTGCAAGTTTTTCTACTCAAGACATATCAACACCTCCCAAAGTGTTTTCACATCATTGCATTTTGGTGACCAAAGTATCTCTATGGGGAATTTTTGAAAGTGCAATTGATGGAAAACTATTTTTAATATCTGAGGCATGTGTTTGTTGCAAAGTTTGAGGTTGCTAAAAGGAGATGTGTTATTTAAATACATTACCTCCTTCTGGGATGACTCTGGCCTCTGTGAGGGGGAAGAGTGAGAGAGAAAAAACTTTACATTCCCAAACATTCCAAAGCACAAAGAAGGGATTCAAGTGTGGAAAACCGAAAAACTGTGCTTCCTCCCAGAAGACTGCTGGATACCTGCTCCCTCCTCAAATATTATTGCTGACTATTTCGCACGCACACGCAAAAACACACGAGCACACACAACACACACATACACATAAAGAAGGCATAAAGAATTCCTCCTCGGACAGAGTCCTCTTTGTACAATTCCAGTGACTAAAACCCAATGCTCTTCTATAGATGCAGTCACATCTGTAATCAAACAAGATTCATATAAAGCATTTTTTAAACATAAAATAATAATAATTGTATTATCTTAATTGTATTATCTTACGGGGAAATACTTTTGCTGCAGAGACAAACTAAACTTCGGTATCAACACATCAAATGTTGCTTTTTAGTAAACCCGAATTAATAGGGTTAACTGGATTTATATTTTAGAATAGTTTATTTCTACTCTTTTAATTTGTTGTTATGTGCAATGCGTTATTTTGTTTTATGCTGCTGGAACACATATTTTTTTCCCAAATTGGGATTAATAAAGTACATTTTATTTTATAATCTTACAGATGAAACTCACCACTGAGATGACAGGCAAAGAGGCAGAGGAGAGCACCGAGCCATACCAAGAGCTTCATCTTTCCTTTCTAAATACAACATTTTAAAATGAGGCACTTTAATCCACTTGTCATTCATCGGTATATATAATGATTCAGTATTACTATAACATATATTTTCTTCTAGATGCTATAGTCTTATGAGAGTAAAAGATAGTACGATTTTTACCTGCAAAAGGTCTGTGAAGCCGTGCAGAGAGATGCTGTTCATTCGCTGGTGGACTGTGGTCTGTGGAGCTCAGAGGAGGAAGAGCCAGTGGACCTCCACCACACATACACACACGCACACGCACACGCACACACACACACACACACACACACACACACACACACACACACACACACACACACACACACACACACACACCCCGAGGTTTGGAAGTTTTTCTTCCACTGAGACAAATGTAAAATCTGTAATATTGGGCTATATAAATAAACTTTGATTGATTGATTGACACACACATGCAAACGCACACAGCCATGCCATTCCTTGCCCAGCAGGAAGTGACTTTAATGGATGCAAACATTGTAAGATTGTCAAGAAGTCTTTGAGAAAACTTGGTGATGACAATGGGTCACACAAGTGGCAACACTACATTCGCAAATGGTGTGGGGCTGGACCAATAAGAAGGAGTTGTGATGAAAATAAATGCAAAGTTGAAAGATTGGTGTGGTTGGATCAAGGGTGCCAGACATAAAGGGGTATGTTCCGTTTTTTTTTTTTTGCTATATAAATTAGCATCCCAATTAATATCACAGTTAACTTTGTTATTGAATTACAGATGCACGTTGCTAATAGCAATAGCATTAGCTGGTGTTGGGGAAATATTTTCCAAGGTCCATAGCTTTGACCCAGTTTATCAGTTCATACTGTCCTGACTGAGCACACGCACCTGTAACCTTGGCTGCTGTGCTCTCAGTGTTTTGTCTCCCTGTTCCTGCCTGTTGGCGTCAGCTGATGGAGGTGTTATGATTCTATCTTGTTATGCACAATGTTGATTATTCTCTCTGAACTAGATAAATACATGGGTCTCTGGGGTAGAGTTCTTCAGAATTGACGTGGCAACTCTCCCGTGCAGTCAGATCCGTGACTGCTGTGACTTGTTTTGTGAATCCTCCGGCCGAAACTCCTAATAAACCACCAGTGTTTGACATCAAAGCTCCAGCTCGCCCCGTGTCTCCTTCCTGAGTCGGTGACTCCCACTGCATTGCTACACAGAAGTTTCTCCCACAGCTGGTACCTTGCCAATTTGGGTCTAGCCCCTTTACCTTCTTCTACAGATATGGTCAATTCTAGCTCCAAAAAAGCATGATACCAAAATGCTAAACTTAAGAATAGCTCTTAGCCTTTGTGAACTACTTTTTATCAATTATATAGAGATATTTTCATGTGATTTGTTTTACTGTAGGAACACATATTGCCCTCTTAATAATAATAATAATGGTGCTATTTAATGAATTAGTGCATGTATCACTTGATAGGCTTGAAGGCTTGAATTCAAACACTTTTTTTGCGATCAGCAAGGATATGCTTGTTTTATTGCAATACCATGTTTTATAAGTATTTTCACATCTGTAAACAGCAAAATGAGCGAGATTGTGTCATGGTGGATACAAATATTATAATCAAAACCAACCATAGGGAGATATGTTTGCTGTAATAATCACAATAAAAGGTACAATACAATAGCTTGAACTACAAAATGAGCTTCATACGAGATAATCAAGTATTAGTGATTCATTTAAGTGCACATTGCATTAAGATCAATATTGTTTTTTTAAATGCACAAGTATTTTAAGGCAGCAATTAAAATAATGATGAAGGTTGCTGGTTACAGTGCAATGAGGGGAAATAAATCCCTAGTTATCCTTGCAGCCCGTCTGATCTGTGGCCTTCATCTTGGACAGGTCGACTCCTTCTTGGATCAGCAGGTCTTTAGCAAACCTCACAGTCTCCGCTGGCAGGAAGCGAGAGCGCCCAAGGATCCAGGCGTAGTCGAAGTGGAACAATCGTAAAATGTCCGTGCAAGAGTACACAACGGTCACGCTGGTGTAGTCCGTGGTCACAACCCAGTAGCTGCCGTAGGGAGCAACTGGGAGAGGGGGGGGGGGGGGGGGGGGGGGGGGAATACAAGATATCATATTTGTGAAGCAGAGGTTAACGTTTGTTATAAACCTTAAAATATATAGTAAGAGAAAGAAACATCCTAATATTTGTAATGATAATTATCGTACAACATTATAATCTCAAAAAATCAAACAAGACTTGATAAAGAAGAACAACACAAGAGAGATAAAAGAACCAAAAACATGTACACTACACAATACACTTACAATAGGAGAAGCCGACTCCAAGTTTGGCCGGTTCTCTGGGGTCTGGGGCCACTGCTGTCCCTTCTGCTACTTCCACCTTGCCTTTACTGAGAGAGAGAGACAGATACACTTTGAACTCTTTCAAACAAATATGTAAAATACAAAAGCAGAGTACATGTTTGAAGGAAAAACAAGATTAGGGAAAATAATCTAACTAAAAAAGGATTCAAATGTCCATCATCTCCCAGCATACAGAGGGTTTTGTCCAAAGTACTGTCTTTTTTCTTTTTCATAATAAGCATAGACTCCTCCCTAAGGTGTGACACCATTGGCCTTTAAGTCATCTCCATAACTAATAATTAGTTATATAAAGTAATTATAACCACTGGTGTGTTATAATGATGATCCAATCATAGTAAGGGCCCAAATATTGGATGTAAAGAGTTCACTGAATAGTGGTATGTAATATTTGTCGGTTATGATTTTTGAGTGAATTGTAAACATAGCTGAAGTCAGAATAATTAGCGATATGGGTATCAGCAATCAAAAAAAAAAAAAGTTAGCTCATGGTTCCTCAGACACACACCTTTTGAATTCTGATCAAATTCACGTAACCTAAGCATATGTAACACAGTACAGCTTATCAACCATCCTACATTGATCCTACATCCTACATCTAAAATGCAAAAACAAATCCCCAATATTATTTAGTTTAAAACAGTCCTGGTTGTTCAAAGGAAGTAAATATGTGCAATACATGTATTTTTTAAGCTTATAATAAACTTTCAGATGACGATATGATTTGTAGTGGTGGTGGAAGATGGATTTTGTAACCTCTGGACAGAGCTATTTCCCTGTTTCCAGTCTTTATGCAAGGCTAAGCTAACTAGTATCCTCTGGGTCAAGATTCATATTAACCTAACAAATGAAAAGACACATGAAAGCGGTAACAAGACTCTTTTTTTGAAGTTTTCTCTGTAACACTGAACAGAAATTAAGTCATTGGTCAGGTCATAACAACATAATAAATATCCTTGGATACTCACTAGAATCCGCTGTTCAGCACCTGAATGGTACCATCTTTCCTCACAGCGTAGTTTGCCTCGATGCACTTTCCTCTCTCGAAGGAAGCAGGCAGCTTCTCGATCTCATACCACTTCCCCAGATACTGTTAGCAGAGAGGTTGCATTAGTGCTGCGTAGTTCATTGAATAGTATTTGATTGAATGTTTTAATGGTTGTTTACTTGTTGAAGATTGAAGTTAGGCTGCACTTTGGGGTCAGGACAGGGACCCCAGTGATAGGTCTGAGCTGACACCAGAGGGAGGAGCAGGAGGAGGAGGTAGACGGCTGACATTGTTCCTAAAAGTAAGTATATGTAAGTATGAGCAGCTAAATGCCACAACTCACAGCCAACACAGTACATACACACATTTTTAACCAACTTTATACTAGATCGAGTGCACGCAATCTGGTCAAATTCGATTTGATTGTTCATTTTTTAACATGATGGAAACTATTTGAGAATTATTATTTATTTATTTTATACCTTGAAGCTTTTTTATATTTTTATTTTGCAGAATGTCTTATGTATTAAATGGACATTATATCATCTTGTAATCTACTTATGTATCTAAATAGTTATCACCGCAATAAACCATATTTAATTTCGTCTTAATGTACATTATTTAATTTCATATTATTTTCTTGTATATTATATTTACATGTATATAGACTTCTTGCACTATTTTTTATTTGTATTTTTGTATTTTATTATAGCTTATATGCATATGACAATAATACCTTTGAATTTGAAATGAAAAATTGACCATATATTCTGGCACGTAAACAGTGGCATAAAATGGAAATTCTTGAGTATAGTAAATACAAAGTAGTACATCAAATTCTACTTAACTAAGCTGAAACTTTTAGTTGCCGGGTTGCATTGTTGGTAATGTATGCACCAGGTTTTAACAATAGGAAGAACAGGATGAACAAAAGACAAAATGTCTTTCTGCTTCATCTGCTTTTTCAAAAAACCAGTCCATCATGAGTCTGATTAATGCTATAGGAGATAATGCATAAGCTTTAAACAAACAGTTATTACTGTATAGTTTGTCTGCCGAGGGTGTTGACGTTCTACATTCCTTCTCTATTGTTCCCCATATAGGTAAAAGATTATGGTTTTGTGAAACAAGATAACTCTCTTTATCTTTCTCAGTACTGCTGCTGAGAATGCCTTTTTCCTTTTGTCTTTTTACATAAGGTTGCTTCACTTGTTCTTCTGGTTTCACGTAACAGTCGGAAGGCTTATTATGAAACCTTCCGACAAGGTTTCATAATAAGCTATTTCCTTCAGTAGGTGATACTACTGTGTAAAAATAACAATCAAATGACATCAAATGTAATAGTTTGATTAATAGTTAATAATTGCTAGTTGAAAAAACTGAACTTATTTGTAAAATATAAATTTAGGACAACAGTGGACCAAATCAATTGGCAAAAAAAGGTTTATACTACAGAAAATAATCAGTGTCAATTAAAAACTCAACATTTTCCCTTAAAGCATAATTCAGAAATGACATAAAATGTACTTACCCAAGTGTATAAAGGATAAAGGTGTCAGGTGGATATGGTGGAGGCTGCTGTGGTGATATGAACTGTGTGGAGCGCTCTCTAACACAGACTGGGAGTGTTCAGGTTACATCACTGCACAACACAAGGCAGATTGTTAGCTAATTGTCATCATGCGCACATTCCGCATTGTGAAAATGCAGAGGTTTAAATATTTGATTTGTCTGTTTCCACAGTTTTTTTTATCATGAGCACACTCTCTTTATATTCGAGTATCATCTTAAAAACATTTTTGAATGTTATCATTCTTTTTCTCATAAAGTTATTTTGGTAAGATTGTATTTGTTTATAGCAACGTTAGGTTATATTTTACAATACAAAAGTTCCCCTATTTTTTGTATCTGTGTGCTAGCTTGTTCTGTTTAATCTCTGTAATTCTTAATTTACAATTTGTATTAATATTAATGATGGCTTACATCGCTGTCAACCATAGTGTCTACTACTACCAGATAGTTGGAAAAATTGATACAATTCTCTGCACAAATTGTATAACTTGAATCAATTAATTTGTTATGGATTCTGCTCTTACTGTCTTTGGTGAAATTCCAAATTCATGATGGAGGCAAAGAACATACATGTAAGGCAAGGTTGTAAAGAATGAATTACATTAACTCCCTTTAACGTTTGTTGTGTCATCGTACTTTTTAAATAAGTGTATATTATTAGCTGTGATTTGTTACATTTCATAAAAAGAAAAAACATGAAAAAGTCATAATTCACTGTGCGAATGAACAACAAAGCAGATGCCTGAAGCTGCAGGTGTGTTCGTGCTGCTGGTGGGCGGGGCTTCATGTTCATAGGGGAGCTGGAAAACATGCCTGTCCCATGACTCAGTGGTGTGTCCAGGGGACAGCTCTAACAGTACAAAACATCCATAGATAACAACGTGTGGGTTGTTGTGTTCTTACAAATTGGCAAAAAGGGTGAGTGACAGTCAGACCCAATAACAACAATTTGCATAATTAGTACATTTACTTTCAATACTTTAAGTATATTTTGATGCCAATACTTGTACACTTTTACTTGAGTAAGATTTTGATTGCTTTTACTTGTAGCAGAGTATTCCTACCCTGGTACTTCTACTTTTACTTTACTACAAGATCTGAGTACTTGTCCACGCCCTCTTCCATAACTCAAGTACACATTTGTTGTAGACACTTGTGCACTCAGCACCTTACAGTGTGTGTGAGGATGTGAGTGTAATGAATACACAGCTATTGCTTATATTGTTTCATCAGTGTTTTACGTACTGGACATTGAATGCTATTTATTTTGTAGCCTTACCTATTTTAACAGAAGCATACTACCCTCCCTTTCCCTTTAGACATGTCATGAGACATTTTATAATTGTATATGTAAGATGCATTAGAACATATCTATACAGTTTACCAATTAACAATCAAAGTGTCAAAATATGTGACTCTTTATGTAAATCACTGCAATTCTTCTATTGTGTTCCGTCACCTCAAAAATAGTCTGATAATGCATTTTGACGGACATCATTTTTTAATATTTATTTAATAATGTATAGGTACTACAAATCTAGTACCTTTTCAAGTAATGACAGTATTATACTGTTATAAAAACTACAAAAAAATGTACACATAGATACATTACCTTTAAATATATTGTAGCTTTTATGACAGTATAATATTCTGTCATTGTTAAAATATATTATATATATTTGAAATATAATATTAATATATTTTATATAGATTATAATAATATAATATACTGTAATAACAACTACAATGTATTAATGATAATGTATAATGTAATGTATTATGTACCTATATATATGATATCATTATATGTATATTTGTTATGTACATTTTTGCACATAATCAATGTGACCCACTTAGTAAAGATAGTATGAGTGTACTATATACATTGTTTTGGGGCAAATTCTACTAATTTATGCATAAAGGTTTCTAGGGTATAAAGAAATGAAGACAAACAGACGCAAAAATCTAATAAAGATTATTTATTTCCAGTGTTTGTTGAGAAGGGCATTGCACACCCATGTTTTGCTGGAAACAGGCAAGATGTTTACTGATCAGAAAACATTGTTTCATGCAGTTTTAAAGATAACTTTGTTGTTTATTCTCCCAGGTTTTAAGCGCCCATGCATTTTACTGCATACAAGGGGAGAGGGGGGGGGGGGGGGGGGGTTTGGAGTAAAACTATAATGAAACACAGACACTGACATACATCTCAAAGCTCCGCTTGATGTGAGTTTAACTAATAACAGGAAAGACCTCACAACAAAAAAACATCTCTGGAATGCCTGTGATTATTGTTTTTCCTAAAAAGGTTTTGTCTTTTCAACCGCTCTTAAAAAATGAAAAAAAAAGGCACTTTTTCTTTTTGAGATAAAAAAAATGTGTAAAAACTTACTATAACTGGACAAAGTTTTGAAAAGAAAACTACTGTACCAAGCATTACATACTATAGTATCAGCATTTCATTACTGTTTTTCAGTTTTTATTTGATAAAACTATAATAATTCTCCAGTCCATCAAGCTAATATCTGGCTGTTGTGACTGTGCTGTGAAAAAAGAAACTTCCCACAGCACCCAGCTCAGAAAGCAGCCCTCAGTTACATCCACATACTTCAAGTACACATACATAATTATTGGTTTGAAAATGACAATATTGTCACAAAAAAACTAGTGTTAGTCCAAAGAGAATAATACATTCTTCATACCGCTTATAATAGGAAGAACTGAACCATGATTCCATAAAACAAGCTTCCTTCTGCATTCAGTTGTAGTCAAGTTGACCCTGTTGCTTTTCATAAGTCCATTTCTTCACCCTCAAGAGTCACATTGGTAGGGTCCGATCTTGCAGGAGGAAGTTTTGTCCACGTCTGTTCCAGTATGGAGTTTCACACATAAACATCTCTTCAGCATTATTCCAGTAACAATAACATAAGCATATACACAGTATGTACAGTAGATACATAAAGTATACTTTGTAGAAAAAATATTGTGCAGTAACCTTAGCTAATATACCCACATTCGTACATTTACACATTCATTCCGTTTTACACAACACCGTTTCACAGATACTGGTAGAACCGTGAGCGTACAACCTGTGCCCCGGACAGTTTGTGTGGGTGAGGGTCCGCCCCGAGGCTGGCTTTGTTTTTACTTTGCAGCCCGCTACCGTTCACTTGCTCCCCCGCTGGCGGCTGTACGCTCGGAGACTCAGATGGAGGAAGAGGTCTTTCAGAAGCTACTTCCTGGGCTTCTTGGTCCTCCGGGAGGGCTTTAGGCGCCACCTCGACACTTGAATCCGATCCTTTACATCGCTCTCTTGTGATCCAGTTCTGGATGGAGAAGTCCTGAGAGGAACATCTGGGCTTGAGGCGGTCCAGAGCGGACAGATCGGCGGTCTGGTCCACCCCCCCCTGCTCCCTCCAGTCGTTGATGACTGCCAGCTCTGCGAAGTCCCTCTGCCCGCCCATGGTGTGTCTCCGGCGGATGTTCTTCTTCTTCCCTCGAGCCTCCGTGCCTCGGTTCTTCTGGGTGAACATGTCGTCCGCAGATGTGCGTAACCTCAACTTGAGCCGCTCTGTGATTTTCACGTGCCAGGCTGGTTCGGCACGTTCTGACTCGCTGCGTGAAGACGAGCTGAGGCTGCTTGTCGACCGGCCTTTCTTCATCACCTCCAGAACTCGAGAGAGCCTCGTGGAAGACTCCGACCTGCTCTCGCTACGCTCCCCACTTCCGGACACACCCTCCACTGACGACTCACTGTCTGTTTTCTGTCTCAGGGACCACCTTCTGGAGAGCGTGTCGCACTCGATCATCCTGTGCGACGGGAAGAGGCGTCGCGCTTCCATTTTTGGCGCGGCGCTCCCCTCTGCTGCTCCACTTCCTCTTGCTTCACTCTTGTCTTCTGGGCAGGGTGTCGATTGGCTGCTGCCTCCGCTCGGGGCGAACACCGGGAAGTCACTCTCGCTGTCCGTCTCCATGGGTCGCCCCTCGCTGATGAGCTCACTGCGCTCGTCGTCGGCCTCCTCCCCACACAGCTCCGGACTGAGGATGCTGGACTCGGCTCCGGTCAAGAACGTGATGGAGGAAGTGGTGGAGTAGTCGGAGGTGATGGAGCTCACCTCTGCGCCCGCGGACGCCCCTTGACTTGAAGCCAGTCCGACACTCGCTCCTGCAGGAAGATCAAGAGATGCTCCAGTCCACTTTTTGGGCCTCGAGCGGGACAGAGACACTCCAGAACTCGTGGTCCCGGAGGTGTTCTCATCAAGCTGTGATGGGGGGTCCGACACAGAGGAGGACTTCCTCTGAGGAGCTGTTTGGGGGCCTGAGATCTTTGGGGAAGGTGAGGGTCTGGGTGGAGTCTTCTCCTTCAGGAACAAGGAGTTTCTGTGCTCTCTCTTGGCTTTAGGTGTGATCTCCACAGCTCTCCCGTTCTCTTTCCTCTCCTCTGGTTGCTTAGCGTTGGGTTTTGCGTTGGGGCTAGGACGACTGTCGCGCAGTACCTCAATCTGGAGGTGGTTCGGATTCTGTCCAGTGATTTCCTTCTTGGTAAAAACTGAATCCAGATCGTCATCTGAGCTGCTATGCTGCGGCTTCTCCTTTGATTTCTTTCTTTTGCGGCTGGCTGCAGCAAAGATGGAGGAGACCAGGAGCTCTCGGCTGCACTGGTCCTTCCCTGAGCCCCAGGAACCCTGCAGAAAGAAGAAGACACCATGAGTATTTGAGTACATGAGTATTTCTGATGCTGAGAAACACAAAGAGAACGAAAACCCCTTCACCCCTGCCTAAAAACCTGTACTCCACCTGCTCCCGTGAAGCAACACAAACCAGAGAAGTGGACAGAGAGAGGAACATTAGCAGGTGTCATTAACAGGAAGCACATTATGGTTTCCATTCCAGCCTTAATGGAGAAGCAGGAGAAGCAGTAGCATGGACTGAAGCATCCCTACGCAAGCCTGGGCTCTCGCATGACTTGTTTAAAAGCTGAAGGAAAGCAGCCACAAAAAAGCCGAGCAGTGATGAAAGGCTTGCTTTAGATAATGACACAATCTTAATCATTGATTTTGTCTCTTCATGAACGACTGCTGCACAATCCTGAGCTCTTCAGCCACACATGTTGAGTTCAATGTGTCATGAAGCAGAAAAGAGGCAGCTGGATGTACAGACGGAAACAATTATTAATCATTTAAAATGGAAGATCTCACTAAGCCCTGATGGTACTCACCCATTCATATTGTTTTGATATATCCTTTAGGAATCCATTTCTGCTTGTAACCTGATACTATAGGTCTAAATGAAGTGTAAAGTGTGGTGCTCACATCATTGAGGAATTACAAACAGAAACACTCCCAGTTAAATCTATACTGGATCCTCTAGAAGAGCCACTGTCAACAGTTTTCATTAGGACTATTCCTTTAGTAGAATTTCCAATCAAAAACATGCAGAAACTAGTGCAATCTTTTGAGCATGCCACGAGGCAAACAAAAACGTATTTGCTATCTGTGTTGGGCTATAACATATCCAATTTGAGGTATGCCAATTTGAATTGTGAACTTGTGATAGCTGTTGCTTCTAACTTCTTAAATGCATGTATGCACCACCAAAATGTTTCAAATGATTATATTAGGGTAGAAGCAGAAAGGTTGTATAACTACGCTGGGCGCATTAGCCAAAACCATCTGCATTGGGCCAAGACAAAGCACAGGAGGGAAGTCGTTTTTTTTTTTATGCTGATCTTGTCTGGTGTTGGAAGCATTCCTTCCTGCTTGTCACCTACCTCCTGTCATCCTACACACAGTGGCCTGAGAGGGTTAACACAGTGCACACACACTCACCTTTGATTTCGCTGAGTCACTAGTGGGTGAATCTGTGGGTAAAAGAGAGAAAGAGAAGGACATGTTAGATGATTTAAAAACTAAGATGGCCACATGTACAAGGTGCAACGGGGGGGAAATAAATCAGGGAGGAAAAGAAAAGAAAAGAGAACAATGTTGATGAGAAGGGGGGTGAAAACACAGCAGACGAGACGCGTGGGCACACACACACACACACACACGAGCAGACGACAGGCCATGCTTCACACAGGGCAGATGAGCTCTACGTTACACTCAGGTCCACATCTACATGTGACGTTCTTCCACAACACACGCCAAGTAAAGATAGTTATAAACTTTTCTTATGTTTCTTAGTGATACTGAGTGCAACTTTAGCGACGAACACAACACGTACAGTTGAACAATGAGGCAGATAATGTTCCATGCAACACAAGGATGGTGATGGTGATGGTGATGGATATCCAGGTATGCAGACGTGAACCCTATTGTAACATGTATAAATTGGTGGAAATACATCTGAAACCACTGCTAGAAAAGGCTGAGTATTGTGTACAAATGTAAGTTTAGTGCGCCTGCTCAAATACGTTTTATTTTTTTTTTATTTCATTAAAAAAGGAAACTTTACAGCTATGGTATTCATCTGATCTACCCCTGAGTTTTAAGGTTTATCTAGGTAGAATTAGCCTGACAATAAATTCTTCAATTTAACTGAAAACATTTGGATCATCACATTTTGAGATTTTGGACAAGAGCAGGTTCAGAAGCAGTGTGAAGTTCAATAAAAAATGTGACGTTCTCTTCTTATACTTTTAAATTTAAATAGAGACATAAAGAGGTACAATGATCCAGTAAATAAGAAAAGAACAGAAAGTAGTCCCTTTAATTCATATTGCAACACTCAGGAAGGGAACCACTGGTTTAAACACAAGCAGCCTTATGGGAAATGTAGACTCTAAAATGTGTCAACATCTTGATATGAATAAGTCACTGAAAACCATGTGTCAACCGATAAACTATACAAAACCCTTGATTTCCTGCTTTTTAAGCTGAAAGTGACATGAGCTGCAATGACAACGACGACACAGTGATGACAGAGACGGCAATGGAGGAAACCAAAATATAACAGTGACAATAATAAGTGACAGGGGGGTCACAGAGGGGCTAGCTATATGAAAAGAGGGGACACTACATGAGAGAGAGAGTGTCAGCAAGGAAAACCTAAGATCAGTCCTCACCTGCTCTGTAATCATATCTACTTCATCTCATCCTGCTAGCTACAATTTGTTTTTCTTTGTGTGTGTGACATAGCCGAGCCCCCCTATACACCCCTTACAATACAGATGATGGCACAATATGCAAGTGCACACTGACTGGAGACGTAGGAACCATACCATGCTATCTCTCCTGTTGGCGAGCTTGCGAGACAGTAAGGAGAGACAGCGGAGAGACAGTGGCACCGGCCTTTGTTAGGTATAACTGATAGAAAACCCACAACACCGGAGACTGCACAGTACCGTGTAGCCGCTCCGATTCATCTTTTCCTCACGGTTTCTGTCTTTATTGCTTTTTTTTCTTTCTGTCTTTGGCACTTAACAGAACTGCGGGTTCCTGCAGACTAGGCAGCTACACTGCGGGCAACAATCCTCCTTCTTCCTACAGTTCCAGCTGTCCATCACGGACATTATAGAGTCCATCAGTGTCATCATGGTGTGATAGACTCCTCCCACTTGGCCTGTGTCAAGATCAGTATGTGTGAATGCTGGGAAAGCCTTTAGGACACCCGACAGAGCCTCACTAGAGACAGAGGAATCAGAGGTCGCCTTTCACTGTAAAAACATCTATTTCTGACGTGGGAAAGAACATGCCTTATAAGTGCAACAGTAGGCAGGAAAAAGGGAGGGAGAAAAAACAGCCCGGTTGTGGAGTTTAACTAAAACGGGTGTTAAAGGGATAGGGGGAATAAAAAAGAAAAATCTAAATATGTTAAATATCGAGTAGGCGGGACAGATCTCTTAAAGCAAATGAGGAAGCAAAACAATTTATTGCATCCTTTTAACTCTTATTGATGCAAGTAAATTGCCCACTGAAACCCACACAGGCATTTGGACTCATGGTTAGCCATAGACATTTCTATCTAATGGCAACAGCCAAAGAAGCAAAAGAGGAGGCGTGGCCTAGGGAAGAAGCAGCGTTATCATCAACATTTGTTACTGGATTACACACCGTTCCCTGTTTGACTCAGCAGAGAAAAGGGTCGAGAAAGGTGAACCCACCAAAGAGTCGGTATGCCAAAGGCAGCACGTTACCTGATACTTCACCCTGCGAGGTGCCCGTACGGCCGATGTTGGTGAGCAGGTGGTCGATGTTGGGGATGGGCTGAGACTCCACCGCACTCCCATAATGGGACATAGTCTGAAACACAGTGAGGACCAGATTCACAAGAACGTTGAGGAGAGATTTGTAGCCCTAAAAGCTAAACGTTTGTGTTAACGGGTTGCTTTAAAGGTCCCCTTTTATGCAAAATTGAAAGCTACGGACCCAGAATCAGCACTTCTCTAACAGGGCTGAAATAGAGGGGTTTGAGGCATGGCTAGAATGGGTGATCTTTTTGGTATTCTGAGCAAAACACTTCATAGACATGTCTTTTATATATCTAAGACGTATAATATATGCCTAGAAATAGTATAATAGGAGACTTTTAACCTGTTAAGCCCCGAGCCTGTTTTTCAGGTTTCAGGCTCGAAAATGACATGCCCAAAACAAATGACTACAACTTAACTTCTAAAAGGGTTATATGAATAATTTCTTTTATCAAAGCAAGAATATAGATTTTTCTCAGTCAGAGTAAATTCAGATGGAACATAGCAAAAAAAGGTAAATTCTTACCTCCGCCTAAAGAAAAAACATTACTTATAGTGAAAACCACCCTTGAATGATGGGATGGTAGACTAAAAGCTTTAGGAATCCAAACTATAACATATAATAAGTACCATGTATCAAGATTGAGGCAAAACAAGTGAAATTTGACCTTTTAAGAGAGGTTTAGCAAAAAAAGGTTCCAGGCGGAATAAGCTTTCGGCACATTTGGGTACATCTGGTTCGATCAGTGCCATTTGACCTTTTTCAGGTACCAGACTATACAAATTGTGTATTACATTGAATTATCACCATAGGTATTCATTCCATCCAAAGAAGAAAGAAGAAAGAAAGAAAAAAAAAAAAAAAAAAAAAAAAAAAAAAAAAACTGACGGGGTCTTTGGGGCTTAACAGGTTAATAAAATATAATATCATCTGTATGTAAGACCAATTAAAAACATGTTAGTTTTATTCCAGAAGCCATAAGAACTGGGAAAAGCTGCAGTACAAAAGCTGGCGTTTCCCCTTAGTGTTGGAATTGCTGTTCAGCGATAGATTGGCTGTTAAATCGTGTTTATTTCAAATGTTCTTACATGATGATATCTTGTAGTTTGCTTTTCTATATTGTGTTTGCAAACTCATATGTGTACAATTGCAATCGTGTATTTTGAATTGAATTCAGCTCTAAAAAGAGGACATCAAAAAAGAATTGGCAGTGAAGCCTGAACCCACCGCTGGATCTTCATTTCCTTCTTCAGTGAAAAACCAGTGATACTATAGGAAAGAAAAGAAGCATTACAATGAAGTTTTCTCTGTTTTACATGTGAATATGTGGTTTATAATTGCTGTTAATACTCACATTCTGAATGAGGGCCTCCACTATCCTGTACTGGTCGGGCATGTGTGTCACCATATGTGTCATGTTGTCCTCTGTGGTGCGCACCAGCGTGGGACCAAACACGATGGCAAGGTTTCTTGGTTCCATCTAACATACAATAAAACCATTTTAATCATGAACTTTCAATTTCTCTCATCAAAACATAATAAGTCCATGTATAAAGTTATATATCTACCTTATTCTTGTCTGAGTTGTCAGCCACAGTTTTGAGATGAGCTGAGAGGAACTTGAGGGTCTCGTAATGATGATCCGGCAACTCATGAAGCTGGTAAAAGAAATGATGCAATAAGCAGAGAAAGATAAACAAACACAAAACTCTGTTGCATTTCATGAGGACTTTGACTATGAAGACTTCCTAAGCTTTACTCCAAATGCATACAAAACTAATAAATAAGTCTAACTGTAACCCTAAGAATAAAAAAAGGGATAATGTATAATACATAAACAGTACAAAATGTATTGTCAAAGCAACTCACCAGCCTCTTTAGCACTTTGAGTCTCTCCACTGGGTCTACTGTTCTGTTGGCTTCTATAAAATCTCCGTACCTATCTGCACACAGAAATATAAAAATTAGACAAAGGTGGGAGGTGAATGTACTGGTTTGTAGCTCTTATTTATGACCACTAGGTGGCATGCACAACTAGGAAAAAAGCAACTTACCATTAGTGAATAATGGCTCTGGAAGTTTACGGAAGAAGGACTTTAGCAAACTGCTGATCACATTCAGGTCCCTCCATTTCTGTAAAACATTAGAGTAGGATATGAGAGACATATTAGATGTAAGATCATTTCCAAGCACACAAGAATAGAAGAATATGTCACACACCCCTACATTTGTATCAGTCCCAGACACATTACAGGCACCACTGTAGAATATGAAACTCCAAGGTGAGTTTAAATAAAGCAACAAAGATCGATCGACCACTCACATCATCCTGGATATCGATATCGTTCATGCCCTTGTTATTGAGCTCCTCCTGCATGTGTGAGATTGCTGCGTTGTTTCCAGGCACTCTGTATATGCCTGTGTACTCCAACCCCCTGTCCTCCACCAGGTTACAACACACCTCCACGATCAGGGGCACAAACTACAATGCAGAGGAATAAAAAGAGTCTTTACCTTATTGCATATAAAGCATTATCTGAAAATAAAGCGATACGATGTTTTCAAGTCATTGCAGACCTTGTTGTTCAGTGCAGGAGGACAATCGTCCAGCCTCACTCCAAACGTGACTCCTGGAGACGGTTTCTTCTCAAAAGGTTTCCTCATCAGCCCCGGGATGCCCTTCCTCCATGTTCCTTTGTCCTTGGGAGGGCTTGTGTCATCTGAGTGCAACGAGAAACACACAGTACAGTATACATTTATACTATTGTTACTTTTAAATGTAACAGATTTGGTGGGTGTCAAATATATCAAATTGTTTGGTTTTCATACCTTTGTGCATGTTCTTCCTCTCCTGCTCAGATTTGGGTGTGGTTGGGCTTGTTGCTTTGGTGTCCCCCTTCCCTCCCAGCAGTGTGTGTCTGATGCTCAGTGACTGGCGTGAAGGTTTGGGTGATGGCTCTGTCTTGCTTCCTGTCGGGCTGGGTACGACACGAACACAAAATGAGCTTTCCAATCGTTGCTAACTTATCCAGCAAAAGTTCTCTTTAACTTTCTCCACTTCCTTTCTTTATGTGACCTCCCTTGCCCCCTTACCTCATCAAGGTGTTGTACTCTTTGATCTTCCTGCTGATGAGGTCATGGCTGGTTAAGACTGCATTCTATAAAAAGAAGAAAATTAGGGTGAAGAGTCCGACAAAGGACACAATATGTGACGGTAAAAGCATCGTGTGCATCAGTTCCTCCCCTCTCCAACGGGACATAACAGACCTTAATATAACCTGCTGCTATCAGGTGACACAGGTAGGACTATCTCCTATAGAGAGGGTAAATATGGGCTTGTATTTCCAAAACGGCTATTTTTAACCCAGTGGCGAATATAGCAAGATATATTATAATACAGTGTATTCACAGTATATGCTTAGGATTGTTGTGACAGGTCTTACTGTGAATGTCAACAGCAGTGTATCAAATGAACAAAAAAACAATGGGCCTTATGCAAGATAGGGAACAGCTTCTTATCCAATTTCTAAATCCATGAGAAAAACCCTTTTTATTTCAGTCACAGACACAAAAAGCGAACCATGTAGGATATAGTAATATGCTAAAAATAAATGTCCTGCTACAGCAAAGTGGGTCAGGATTTAAAATGGGAGGAGGCCAAGATGATGTGACCATCATTGTAGGGCAAGAGGACAATTACACAGAGGGTGATGTCACACTGTCAGGTTATAAAACAGGTTTTTAGACATGGACAGCACCATGCATAAAGACCCTTACCCTTGTCGACCAATGACATGATGATTAACATACTTTCAGTTGATTTAGGCATATATTCATACTATAAATTCATTCATACGTCATTCAGATAAAAGGATTATAATTGACATTTTGAATCTTCTTTGACTTTGAAATCACTCTCAGATGCAATTTAGCAAGTAATCTGCTTGTATGTGTGGTTCTTGTGGTTCTTGCGGTTCTCCTCTCACCTCCTCATCCAGGTTGCTGTTCTCCTGTATGACTCTGATCCAGGCCAGCATGTCCTCCCGGTCCTCGGCCTGGAACAGGTACTCGCAGTCGGACGTGGTCAGCCTTAGCACGTTCTTTCGCTTCGTGTCGCTGTACGAGATGTCAATCAGACAGGCCTTGATGCTGATTGGCAGGGGCTCGTCCACTGTTTGGCAGTTGGCATGAGCCTGCCCCTCCTTTTTGTCTTTGTACAGGCAGAGGTAGGGGCCTCTCAACACGGCGTACATCTGTTTCCATGGACGCATACCTCCTCCAACACGCTGCAGAAATAGGTCATGAAGAGGAGACACATTTACAAAACAAAGTGGAGGCAATTTCTGTAAACATTTGTATTGTTGGCATCATAACACACAATCACTGCCTTTAAGAGACCTCATACAAGGAGGACAAACTGGTGTAATCGTTGAAACATACAGTACAGAAAATTAAAAAAAGTCAGACAGTAGGTCAGCGAGTCCTTGAAGGTGTGCTTTCTGTGTCAGTGTGTGAGTAATATGATGCATTGTCTAAACAGAGACGGTCCACACCTTGCCCTTATCTGTGTTCAGCTGTTTGAAATGCATAAAACCCTCCTTGGTGGCGTCACAGAAGATGTCTGATGAAGAGTCCCTCCTTGAACCCGAATCCTCGGATGACCTGTCCAACGCCTGGGATGGATAAGAAAATAATGTAAGCCTAGAAAACATACCAAAGACTAAAGTGTTCTGTTGAATACATCCAAATAGGTAGAGAAAGAATGATGTATGTCATCACCAGCGTTGTAATTAAGGATTGTCCATGCTATTTAGGTTGATTTCAATACAGAGAAACAGTCAATATAATAATAATAATAAATCCATGCCTTTTTTCCAATAACATATTGATATTTCAATGTGAGAAGTTTTATCTTCTGGGTGTGAACTAATGAGCTGATAAACGTTTAAACCAGGATATACAGATAGACCTCTTGTATGGCAGGTGTGCACAGCTGGCACTAAGCAAACTAATGCTAGATAAAAAAAAGGGGCTGAACTCACCTTCCTAAGATTTTTCAGACCAGGTATCAAGCCCCTCCTAAATGGAAAAGAAGAGGTTTTTTAAAAGTTATTTAAAGAGCGTTATTTCCACAATCAAGCCTTTATTCATATTTGTGTCAACGCTGTTGTGGGTTACCCTTTGCTTTCTTCCCGGTAGTTATCGAGGCCTTCATCATATGACTTGGACCGCTCTGTTTTAGTACCAGAATCTGACTCGATGATTGTGAGACGTAGAGAATCTATTAAAGGAGGAGTAGGACATTATTTGTAACTGTTTCCAATTTATTCGGGCATTTCAATAATTGTTATACGCCTCATTTTGCTGCTTTGACATGAACATACCTTGGTCATGTGACAGCTGGCGTCGAATGAAAGGGGCCGGAACGGTTGGGCTAGGTGGGATGGTGGTGATGATGGGCGTTGTGGATATAACAGCGGAGGCCGGAATGTGTGTGCTGTCCTGGTCAGTACTTGGACTCGATGGTTCATCTGAGGATGGAAAGATTAGAATTTAGGTACAGCGCAAGAAAAGGGCAAATTCACAAAATATTTGCAGCTTTTTTTGCTAAAGCTATACAAATAAGACAAAGAAATTCTGTTATTCTCAAAAAAATGTCTTTGTTTTTTGCTGCAGTGCATCTATTAAGGGGTGTATGCTAAACTAGCTAACTAGTTTGTGATGCTAGCACAAAAAAGAAGGGAAACAAATCAATGGTTCACGACTAGCAGACCCACTTTGTGGTATTTCTCCACTGTGTAGAAGCACATTAGATTGGCATGAACTCTTTTACATTTTTGTCATAAATTCAGCTGCAATGTTTCATGTAAATAAAATCATCTAAAAACAAAGTCTAATTCATCTCTACTTGAATAAACATTGCAGCAGATAGTAATAAAACGTTATGATAATGGCGCATGCTGGGGGGGAAAGTAAGGCAGACAGACGTGCAGTCAGCTAGTAGAGGTGTTTCTGTTCCGATAAGCTGGAACACACCTTCCCTTTAAACACACACAGGTAGTCAGCTAACATTACATCACAGTCACAGCTGTGTCATCACTTCTGATATGTAATATCAGCAAGATGGCAAGCCCTAAAAACAAATGAAGAGAAGCATACAATGAATCATATCTGTGACAGTGGTGACTGTCAAAAAAAAAGAAGGCAAAACCTAATGTAACATTACCACTATTAACAATCCTTTAATACAGCAGTGCAGCACTTCATACCTTATTTAATCAAAACATTATATATATATTATTATAAACTGCCCTCAACACAAAAAATAAACTGAAAAAAGTCAATCAGAAAATAAAAGAAGACTCATTTCTATCCATTCATGCAAATCTTAACATTTCCGTGCAACAACTTTAAATGGCACATCTGATCTGCTTGTTAGTTTGGTAAAAACCGCTGCTGTCAAATTTCTCTCAAAGTCATGTCCCATGAAACTGCACACCTCATTTTCTGCCCTGGCTGGCAGATGCCTATTCCATGTAATCACTTATTTATATATATATATCCTATTTCTTGGAAAACGGCAGAGTAAATCATGTACAATTACAATTTCTTGTTAGTTAAGGGGATCAAAGTTGACTGGGCTTCAAACTGAAAATGCAGATCTATAAATCAAATAGTTATTCACTTTTTGCATAGAGGTAGAAGAAGAGACCCATCCCACTCTCATATCTTTTCCTTTATGCTGTACAAAGTGTTCTTTGCTTATTTTCTTGAAATTCCTTATACCTCGTGTTTCCTTGCTAACCGCATTCAGAGTGGGAAGCAAATAAGGAATGCCATTGTAGAGGGAAACTTGTTTTTAATTGTGCATAGTATTGTGCAATAGATACAACTTTAAATATCGACAGTAAGGAAAGCTTTGCTTAGCATAAAGAGTGGAACACAGAGAAGCAGTTAGACTGGTTCGGTCTAAGGTGACAAAATCCTAACTACTGTAGGTTGCAAAGTATTTCTTTGAAGGGCACAGTGACTTTCTGGCATCCTTTCTGAGAGCACACTTAGCTAAGGAATAGTAAAGAGGAAGAGTACAGCTAAGGTAGAAGCACAATTTGAAGTTTTATTTAAACATTTGTACGTAAACAAACAAGAAGATGGGTTTTAATAACTCTGCTTTAGAGGTGTTCGTAGGGGGATGTTTTTTTAAATGATGTACCGAGACAACCTAGCTGTTTACCCAGCTTCCCGACTTTATACTAAGCTTAGCTTATAAACAACATATTGATATTAACTGTTGGCAAAAACACATTTCCCAGAATGACTATTCCTCAAAGGTTTGCCCATATAATGTATACAACACTTCACTTGACCACAGAAGAAATGGGAAGTGCTGATGTTGTAATCTGATCTAATCATTATCTAAATGTAGAGAACTTAAAAGCGAGAGCAGAGGCGTTTTTGTGTCTACATAGGGAAATAGTGCTGGAAATGAATATGGTTAACCCTAACCCAGGTTCAGGGCCAAGAATAAACACAAGCTTTGCTCTGATTGGTGATAAGTCACCAATGATGACACAACTAAGCATGCCAGGTCTGATTCAAGCTTGTCTGGTTATGTCAGTTGATCATTTATCAGAGATACTAAACACCTTGATTTTGTGTTAGATGGTGATGCATTTGGTTTGTGATGAATATATTTAGTTTTCTTAGGAAAAACACAAAGAATTGCCAATTACTCATTAGGGAGTACGTGACATTTTGCACATACAAGCAGTACACGTTGTCATCTGTTCCCAGTACAAAATGTTTGGCAGACAGCTAATGTGCAGCAGTTGTTCCACTTATTGTTTGGGACTGTACTATGAAATCTAATTGAAGCTGCAGGAATGCTCTTATTTCTCCATCATGTCACAGTTCATTAGGGACAATGTTCTTGGGTTTCTTTTGCTGTACTATTCAGGGGGAAATATGAGACATTTCAGCAAGGGGGTGGGGGGTGTAGTGAGTTGGAGAGCAGCTCTGTGTATGAGTGTGTGTGTGTGTGCGCTGCTCTACTCAGATGCCAAAGGGGTGGTTTGAATATGTCATGCTCGCCCGCAGTACAGTATAATGCTGTCATATAATCAAACACCTGACTCAATGTCACCCTGAGTTCAAAATGTCGCAAGGAATTAATTAATTTTAGTATTTGAATACCCAAATAACATGGTCTGCTGTGTCTGTAAACACAGTAAAGTCAGTAGGCCTACATCACACTGCCTTGATGACCTTTGACAAGTGGTTTCAAAGGCAACAGTGTTGTTTTTTTAGTAAAATCAAACACTGTTTTAAAAAGTAAACAAAATTCTGCGGGTATTTTAAACAGTTTGTGACATTTCGACACAATATGTGTCCTTGTAGTATGATAAGTAAGGCCACAATGAAATAGGGGGCCTGAGGATATTTTTTTGTATTTTGGGTTCTATGGAGAGAGGAGTGCTTACTGTAGCAAACAGGGATATATTAAAAGTACAACCACATTGAAGTCCCGACCCACTAATATATGATGGAAATACCAGATAGCCACCTTAGAACTGTTAAGTTTACAGCATGCTCTACCAATAAAAGCATTGAGAATGTCCACCTTTTAAACTGCATCTATCCGAACTTCCTCTAACATGCTTTGAACATAATACACACGGACACACCCTCTTCTTTGCCACTGCAGCTGTTATTCTCTTTCAAATGCTACAAGCATCAGAGCATGTCAAACCCATCATTGCATTTTTAAATATAAATCTATCCTATGAAAATAATGCCCACTTTTCATCTGCTGTTCATACGGGCAGGGTATCATTTTAGTTTCTTTCACACCAGTAGTTTTTCATAATAGAATTGAAAATAAAATAAAAATGTTTTTACACAAAACCGTTTTCCTTCCCAGTAACAAAATAAACCAAACGTTGCACAATTAGCTGTAAAATACAGTCTTAAGTGTCCTGATTTGCATCTAGAGCATTTCCTGATTTAGATAAGGAAACGTCACATCAATGCGTAAACAAGATTAGGATCTGACCAAGCAACTTTCGATAGTTGATCCTTTAGACACATTTTGGTCTGTTGTCAAGCCCGTACTGGATTAAAATTGGCTAAAGACTCTTTGGCTAAAGAGAGAGCCAAAACTTCTTGCATAAAACTTGCATTTGTTTCACAGGACAATCATTTTACTGGTGTTGCTATATAAATAGGAATCATTTAAAAATAAGGTTAGAGCAGTCTTACCTATGAATGGGATAGAATCCAGGGAGTCATCCAAGTTGTTGGAGCCAGACTTATGTCGTGTGTCTCCCAGCCTTCTGAGATGCATCTCCCTAAAGCTGTCATTTGATGTCCAGCATATAGCTCCATCGGCAGAGCCTGCCTTCACCAATGGTGGTGACTTGTGTGTCACTCCTCCCTGGTCATTAACAGCTAGTACATAGGATGGAGGGCGGATGTGGGGATGTCCGGAGTTTTTGTCCCTTCTTAAAACAACGACTGTTGCATCCAGGCCTTGTACGCCCTCTGCCAGACTGCCATTAGTCCGTATAAGAGCGCCGGTGGAGCTGGAGATTTCTCTGACTTTTGGCTTTTGAGTCACAGCTCCATTAGTGGTGGAGAAACCAGAAGAAGAAGCAACATCTAAACTTGGTTGCTGTCTCTGCATGGGCAGTTTGGAGGAAGTACCAGAGCAAGAGGAGGACCTGGCTGCCAACCCAGCCTCTAACCTGCTCTCTAGTTTCAGACTGTCAGCCCTGTCTCTGAGCTGCAGGTGCAGAGGCGAGGAGTAGCCCAGGTGGTTGGCCATGATATTAGCTCTTTGGTCTTTAAGAGGGTCTGTGGTCTTGGTGGAGGATAAGGCAGGTGAAGGGTCTAAGATAGAGTTTTTGACAGGCAGACGTGACGGTCTCATTATGACACCGTCCGTCCTTGATGGTAGTACAGAATCTAATGTACCTTTAGTAAACACAGGAACAGCTAAAGACGAGTTGGATAATCCACCTTCTCGCCCTTCTTCCCCCTGTCCAGTGAGACTCCTGTTTAGATGAGGTAAAGCTCTTACTCCTGTTCCCTGCCTGCTAGCTCTGGCATCCTCTCCCCGACACAGCAACAACCGGTCCTCCAACCCTACTCTATCTCCAAACACTGCCAAGCCACCTGATTCTCCAGGCTGCTGCCCCAGATAGTCACAAGACCTCGCCCGAGGTTTGTGCACTCCTGTGGGGCTTGAGAAAGGCAGAGCATCCTCGGAAGCACTCCTTGGCCAATTCCTGAGCGGTCTTGACCGGTCTGCCCCATTTCCAAGCCTCTCTTGGGAAACGCTACGTAATGGAGTGACTGAAGTGCCCTGGCTATAAGTATCTACCTCGCGGTCATTGGAGGTGCTTTTCCTTCTAGCTTGGGAGCCCAGTTCCGCTCTTGGACTGGTGCTAGGAGGAGACTGTGTACGTTGCTGTGTGTAAGCGGAGCTGGAATTAGCAGCTGCCCGCAAGCTGTCCAAGCGTTCCTGTATGGTGCGGCAGCCATACGTGTGCCTCTTGGTGTCAATATAGTCCTTATAGGTTGTGTAGTTTTTCCAGTCTATGTTCTGATGTGGAGAGAGGGAGGGGGCTGTGGGAGAGGGTGAGTATTGGTTGGCGCTGGGTGATATGGCAGTGGAGAACGTGTCCGGTGAGACAGCGGCGGCCCGTACAGGTGGCGACAACGTGTCAGGATAGATCGGACCAGGTTTTGATGAAGGGGAGTAGCCTGAGCTTTCCGTGGAACGGGAAGAGGGGTGCTGCAACTGTGCACCCCCAGGTATTGAGGGAATAAGGGGTCTTGGTTTAGCTGAGCCTGAATCCTTTGAAGGACTGTACCGATTTTCCTCTGTCCTGTGGCTGGGTCCAGCCCGAGCCACCCAGGACCCCCTGTCAACTGGATCAGGAGGCATGGCTACTGTCCTCACATTGTCATTGCAGACACACGCCACTGTCTGAGACTTTGACGTCTGTTGGATTGTAGGCGATGGCGGAACAGGGATTTCAACCCTGTAGCTTTTCTCTTCCACTCCCCCTCTTCTTTCTGGTCCCTGAGCCGGACCTTGGGCGGTCTCAATGACTGCGGCGGGCTCTGATGTCTGAGCCATGCCCGCAGCCTTAACTTCTATCCGTGGGTAGCATATCGGAGGGGGCTCTGGGATGTTCTGGGCATTTCCGCTGTACGCATCATTTCCTTTGAGGTATGCATCCTGGGAATACGCCTGCAAGAGATTATAGGACATTATGTCACTTTGGTTGCTGAGAGGTTGGAAAGCTAAACTAGATCAGATTAACTCCTGGGAGTACATCACACCCAACCACAGACAGGATATATTTTCACTTAAACACTTGTACTGAAAAGGTAGAGCTGTAGATCAGTATTTGAAAATATTCTGCAATAACCACAATTACTGCAAATTAAAATCCCAGAAAAGCATAGACCGATCTATGTTGTTTCAGCATGGTCATTTTATTTCTTACATTTCCTGGTGAGGCAATACAGTTTAACTTGGGCACAGCGTCTTCTATTACTAAAGTTACTGCCATATCTCACATTATATATAACTTTCCTCTGCCGCTACAGTATTAATATTTTGTTAATAAATGTGGCTGCTCACATTTAAAAGCAACAAACAATAGTAACCCACTTGTGTCATTTATTTACAAAAGTCTCTGAGTAAGCTGAGGAGATTATCAGCAAAACAAACTATTACTGCATTCCCTAAATAGAACTATCAGGAACAACTGGTTTAATCCGGTCTACAACAACAAAAACACAGCATGCTACAGCTCTCTAGAACAATTTCTCCAAATCAAACACAATCTCTTTCAGTAACAGTTTCTCAATCTTTTCCTCAGAGACCACAAACAAATGTTACATCATGCCATGATAGAAATTAACTGCCCTGAGAAGTAACAGATGTGAAAGAGTGGGAAAAAGGGGATAGCCAGAAAAGCAAACAAGTAGAGAAAAAGATCCAGGAATAAACCCTTGAAGCCAGGAGTGAGGATTAAGCTGTCAGGGTTTACCCACCTTCCGTACTGGAGAATGTGCCCTGAGGCATGAGGAGAGGCTGAACGGGGGACGCCTCTGTCTTCCTTTGCCCGCTAACGCTACCTCTGTCAGCATCGCTCCACAACTCTACTGTCACTGTAGTAACTGAGGTACTTTCCTTGATTAAAACTTGAAGAAAATCTAGCTGCTTATTACCCTGCGCACTCTTCAATGAATGGTTGTTTTCATATTAAACATAATATATTTCCTCGTCCTTTCAGCGCAAGAGCTCTTGAGAAAATGAAAGAGAGAGAGTTGTGGTGTCGGACTTTAATCGATAGCACTCCACCTGAGGTGTCAGGTTACAATTGCACTAACAGCAGCAGCAGCCACTGTAAATCTACTGCTTGGTGCCTCCCATTGGCTTTGTTAAAGTCATGCAGTCAAATAGAAACCAATTTCCTCAAAAGAGAGGTCTGCTGACTCATGAACTCAGATCATTTTTTTTCTTCCATAGACACATCTTTCTCTTAAATTGCTATATTACGAGAAATACAACCAGAAAAAATTACTTGCAAGTACTAACCTGTAGTAAAAACACTACACATATACAGCTAAGGGGGGAGTTTATTTGGGGTTTTACGGGGTTTCCTAGCTTCTTCATTCGCTGAAATAGCGGGGCATCATCAGGAAAGGGAATTTAAAGGAAGGGGATTAGTGAGCATAGTTTCCCATCTTACCAGAGCAGTGATATCCCTGGAAAACTGCAGTCCACAGGATAGAGAAGGGCAAGCAAAGAGAAAAACAGGGAATAAGAGGCGTAAACAGGTGAGCATAAGGAAATGAGAGGTATATCGCCATCGTTTGACTTCTCTGATTTCAGGACATGCTAAAAATACACTTGCTGAACACAGGCATCACAGTCGGAGGAAGTAGAAGGATAAAGAATAGAGGTGAACTTCAGCAGGTTTGGTGTCCTTCTCAGACATGAAAGTCCTCTGAGTTGGTCTTCATTCCCATTATTTGCTCTTCTTACCTACCTCCACCAGTCAACATACATTGGAGAATGTTTTCTCTCACTCCCAACATACTCATTCTCACCTGCTCACTGTGGTACCTCCCCTCTCTGGTTTCTCAGAGGCTCTTGCACTGCACACACGCTACTAGCTTCTTTCATCCTCTTATTCATCTGTTAGACACTGCTTTACAGCACGCTTGCCTGATCTACACTGGCTTGCTTCCCTTGCTCACTCATGTCAACAGCGAGCTGAGAAGAGTCAGCTGACTGCAGCTGCACTCCCTCTGGTAGTGTGTGGGCTCAATGACTCCCAAAATACAGGAAAACACAAACATGAACACAATTTAAAACATAGACATATAAACTTCTATAAACACCACTATGTACACCCTTCCATTATGCTTAAATCAGGAAATACACACGTTTCTCCTTGTTTAAATATAGTTAAAAGGTTACACAGAGAAGCATTCATTCACGCAGCGTCCACACGGCGGCGTGCGTTGAAGCTTGCCGGCGGGCGTGTCTGAAGCTCGACCAACAACCAATCACATGAATCTCCCTCCCCGGACACACAAGCACGCGGTTGATTGGCTAGAGCTTGTACTGGCATATGATTTGATTGGCTGACGCTTCCGTCGAAGCTTCAAAAGTTGAACATTGCTCAACTTTTGAAGCGAGCAAAGCGAAGCGACACTCCCACAATGCAGTTCGGCAAAGCGTGACGTCACCCCATTCAAAGTGAATGGGCAGAAGCGTTGAAGCTTCAACGCACACCGCTGTGTGGACGGGCCGTTAGGGTTTATATTGTGTATTTCAGACACTTTAAAGAAATGACTTGATTGTGATTCACAACGATACGTCAACTGATAATTAAATAATACAAACAGTAACCCTTGACAGTCAGATCACATGTTTAATTCCACTATCCTCAATTTTACTTAAGGTTTGTGCCACAGTTTTGACCACATTTTTTATTGGAAACCAGATTACAAGTAAAAAAACAAGTTTTGACACATCAAAGATTGTCTTCATTTTGACTCATGTTTTCCTTTATGGGAAGAAAGAGCAAATTGCTTCATTTGACTCCCTCAGCCATGTGAGCGCTCAGACTAATTCCAAAACGCCAAAAGCAAGTTTCTGTGGTTTTTGGTGAGTTGCGGCAGAGCTAACAAGCTATGTGTGGAATTTAGCAAAACAGTGGGATCTGACTCAGTTCTCTGCTCCAAGAGACATTTCCAAACGGAGGTGAATAACATGTGGAGGGTTGTTTGACGTAGCCTGGCGCTCTTTTATCGTCTGTGGGGCTCTGGACCCTGACTGATGGCGTGGGATGGCTGTTTGCATCACTGGGCTCATGAGGGGGGGGGTGTTGAGCTGTGGTATCCACTCTAGCTCGGCTCCTTGAGCATTTTTCTCACTTTTTTGGAAACTCACATTTCCAAAAACGTCGGTCTTGATGCTCCAGATAAGATCCAACACAATACTATTATGCAGGGGCGGACTGGCCATCGGGACGTTCGTGATGAATCCTGATGGGCCGGTCGGACGAGGTCGGATAAGTCACTAGCAACCCCCCCGTCGACAATTTACTAGCGGTATTTACTTGCGGTACCGAGGTGGGCCGGTCGAGAGTCCCGGGCTCAGTAAATAGCTTGTTTTTACCACTGAATCCAACGTGACTCAGAGGTTTTTTATCACTTCAAGTTTCCCAGGCTACGCTTAAAGGAGTAGTTTCACATTTTGAAAGATAAACATACACATCAATCTCATCTCTGTGCCTTAATATGAATTGAGTACATTTGAGATTAGTTTAGCATATAGCCTGGAAACATGGGGAAAGCAGCTTGAATAGCTAAGCTCCTTCAAACAACATACCTATTATCATGTTATTTATTGTTTTTTTAACCTGTTAACAGGAATAAAACATGTGTATATTTGTAGGGGGTTTAACTGCTGCGTGCCGTGACTGTTTGCAACATTCCTAAAAGTTGTCATCACAGTGACACAGTGCAAAGTTGACAACATTTATCCTGCACAGCTCACTGCTCACTGACCATATCTGACATACCTGTGTTCAAGTAGAAGACACAGCACAGCAAGAAGGTGGATGGACACATTGATTTCACTGAGAATTAGTTCAACCACAACACATAATTTCCTGCCGTATAGACGAAAGAGCAATTTTAATCACACTTGCAATATTTACTGATAAATGAATGCTTACCAGCTGCAAAATATCCTCATCCTTTGGCATCACACAGAGTTCCAGTGAGGCATCGCTAAAAGGAGGAAAGGTTGTGTAGATTGGAAGAGATAAAGAGAGAGAAACAGTTTTCAGACATGGCTCACACTGTGGAAATGCACGGCACTTTTCAAGAAAAAGCTGTAAATTATAACTGGAGTTTAATGAACTGTGAATGTGAACGTGTGCTTGTCAGAAATGAGGAAATTATGCTCTATGGAAAATTGAAACGTGTTTTCCCCCAGAAGTTTCACAATGTCTCATTTTCTGTGTTGTTACTCCACAGACGTGCAGGGCAGTGAGGAGATTAGATGGGGCATATTTCTCTTAATATAAACCATACAATTAAATGTGGAATGCCACATTTCGTACCTGTTCTGGATCAAGGCTATGACTTGCGAGTATGTCTTCCCAATGATGCTCTCTCCATTCACCTTCACAATCCGGTCCCCTGGGAAGAATTATAGAATACATTACAAAGCTGCTGTAGACTGCAAACAGCAACATGACAAACTGTGTTTGTGCATTCAGCTGCTCAGATCTTAAAACCTGGTCAATATGGTTATTGACTGAGAAAACACTCTATAGCAGCTCCTTCCAGCCCAAACACACATTTGTGTTTAGATCAAAAGGAGAATACCAATACTTGTTTATTTCAAGGACCTCATGTGAAGATCTATCTCCATTCAAGTTTTCTGATGGCCATCTTACAGGAAGAGAGGCGAGGTGAGTTTAGGAGAGATAATTATGGGAAAAAAGTGCACTCCCTTATCCCAGGAGAGGAGAGCAAACAGATAAAAGCAGACAGTTTACAGGGCTGGTCTGGGCCACTTAACATTTCCTGTAATACAGAGTGCTAATCTGGCAATAACGCTGACAAAGCCGCCAGCCGTCACCTCCATTTCAGAGAAACTGGAAGCAGCTGATTCATTTTTTCACTGGAAGGGAGCTTGTTCAAGTGTTTTTATACTCTCCGCTTAGAATAAGAAGTGATTCACAAATCAATAAGGGCAGAAACAAAGTAGGGAGACTTAGAAAAAACAGAATCAAGGGTAGGTTGGAATAACAGTGTGCATATTACACTTTGTTCAACCTCCCACGAAGGAGCCATCTGTTATTTTGTAACTCATATCTGTTTGGCCTGGCAGGTTACAAGGAAGTACCTACAGTACAAACGTGAAGAAATCTTGGCATCAAACGGCACTTTGAGGTCAAATCTGAGACGGGCAGTTAATCATCAGATCAGCCGCTTTTATAGAAGCCGTGCAATGTTTTCCATAGAGACTGTGCGTGTGTGTGAGTGTGTGTGTACCTGTACAGAGTCCAGCTCCGTGGGCGGGGCCTCCCTCCTTCACTTGCTTGACGAAAATGGTGTCCATTGGCTCCAGGCGGTTCCGCTGTCTCCCTGGCAACAAGAGAGCACATGCACCAAGGCGATTGGTCACACAGGGAGGAAGAGAAACAGCAGCAGAATCTGAACTAGATCACATTGAACTGGAACTGGAAGCAATATTGTGGTATATATTTTCTCCAACTTTTCCAACATTTTCCAAAATGACAGTTTTCTTACTCAAACACACACTACAAATGTGATATTTTCTGGTTGTTAAGTGAACAAATCTGATAACTTGATGCAACAATGTGAAATGTCTACAGTATTTAGAGCATTTTGGCAGTTATATTTAGTTGTTTCTGAACTACATACTTTAGATTTGACTGTACCAAAAATGATACTGAGTTTTCTTGTATAAACGGTGAGCCAAATGAATAAATGTCAATGAGGTCAAAAAGAGGGTGTAACATTTTGTGTAAGAGCAACAGTCCAAAAGCCAGTTATACTAGGAAATGATCCTCGAATGTTCTAAAATGATTTATCAATAATCAAAACAGATGCTTTTTATCTTTTTTAGACCTAGTAATTGTTTCATATCCTCACTGCTGTGAATTATTGCAAAATATCTTGAGGCGAATAGCTTCCAAGGTTTTATGAAAGAAAGATAGAAAACAAATGATTCCTCATCTCAAAACGTTCCTTTACATCCCAAACACTGTATCAGGTTCTTCTTTTCTAGCACATCTGTAGTCCTTTAATACATCCATCCATTCACTCTGCTGTCAGATGTGTCCTGAGAGGTCCAAGTGTGCTGACAAGACTAAAGGCAGCCACAAGAGTTTGTTTTCGAGGAACGCACGCCATGCCGTGTGATGTGCATGGAGCAAGCTAGTGGAGTAAGTGCAGCTTATTAAGTCCAAGTTGAATTAACTTGCTTGTGTAATAAAGTGTTTTTAAAGCAATTATGTGCATGCAAAAAAGAGGGACTGACGATGTTTGTGCTTGTGATTAAAACAGCAAAATCGTCTTTCCCTGAGCCATAAGCCTCAATCGGAGTTGGCCTCAGCTGTCTCTCAGAGCCCAGAGGCTTTGCGGAAGTGCAACATCAGAGCAGTTCTTTCCTCAGGGGTCGCATGCTCTTTTCATGAACGCCCGCTTCCCATTCACACAGCAGCAGATACATGTATTTATGACCCAATGCAACGAGCGCTCTATGAAGCCTTGAACAGCTGGAATGTAGCAGATGTTGGTTTAATGTGTTGCTGTGGAGCAACTTCAAAGGTGAAGAGGGGAAAGAGTTGTTGAATTATCAGTTTACTCAACTTTGTATAAGAATCCACACCTGTAACATGACTGTACTAATTTTCTATTGCATCTTTATATTTGTGTGTTTCCTTTGGCAAGAAACATGCCAATATTCAAAATATGAGCTGTTTTGATGTCAGCATGTCACCTTAAATGGGACCCTAACCCTAACCTCAAAGTCTTTAAACTTGTAATGTTCCATTTTCTGACAAAGAGATGTTTACATTAAAGAGAGTTTTAGTAACACTGGACTCATTAAAACTTACAAAGACAGTTGATTCAGCGCCAAAAGAGACTTCTAAAATATGGATATAACAGGTTAGATACCCATCAAAGCTCATGTGCCTTAATAAAATGTCAATGTATACCTAACCTGCTCCTTCAATGTAAAGTATTATAAACCTGGGGTTTGAATGAGATGTGGACAACAGTTGCAGCTTTGTTTTTGATCCAGTAGAAGGCAGTGCAGCACATAAAATGACACCTTTCTTAGTGAGGAACAGTGTAATATGTTTAACCCAACATACACAATGTGTAATATGTTAAACCCAACAATGACTTTTATATTTTTAGTGAATGGGTGGCTGACTGCATGCTTGTTATATGAAAAACTCCACTGTAGCCCCTCACAGAGAATGATCATAAAACAATATTTATGTGGAACATCACTGACACAATGTAGGACAGACTGGGAATGACCCGAGGTGAAGGTACAGATGTTAACAAATGTTCCCTCCCTCTCCCTCCCCCCTCCTTCCCATCCCTCGCTTCTTGTACTCGGCAGATTCCCAATCCTGAGCCAATCTCACCGAGCTCTAACTCTGCAGCACAAATTGGATTTCTGGAAGTTTCCATGCCACACAGCTGGATGAACGGGATTAAATGTGGAAATCTAAAGCTCTGGATATTTGTAATGCTCCCAACTGTCTTACCAAAGCATAAACTACTGCGTGGATTAAAGAAATACATCAGCCTGCCTCAAAATGACTCTGGCTGGTCAAAAACACAGAGTTGTGTAACCACAGCTACTTTTGAATGCTACTTGGGGAAATATTTTCTACTAGTAGGGCTGCACGATTTGGGGAAATAATGTAATTGCGATTTTTCGGACAGATATTGCGATTGCGATTTGATTTGCGATATTTGTTTTTAAGCGACCCAACGGAAGTTTATTGTAAAATGCGGCCATATCTCCGGCTAGCAAGGTCGTATCAACGTGCTCCTGTCGCTAGCACCCCTGCAGCCCGAGCTACGAGTGAAAGAACTAAACTTACATGAAACTTCCATTGGGTTGCTTTAAAGTCAAGCTTCAGTTTAAGATTCACCCTGTAATAGATGTAAAACATGTGATGGAGCATTACTAACCTGACTCAGATGGTTTGTTTCACCAAATCATCTAGGAAAGCTCCATTGGAAGCCATTTGGAAAGGGCAGGCACTTTCAAAAATACTTGGCAGGTGATTGGATCAATCTGTCTATCACCTTCTATCATGGGCCACTTCTGATTGGTTAACAATGGCTGGTACATGTGGAGCACAGCAATTCTGATTGGTGTGGATGACTGACACACAAGAAAAAAAAAGAAAAAATCGCAGGCTTTGCGATTTGATAATCGCATAATTTCAAATCGCGATTTCGATTTAAAATCGATTAATCGTTCAGCCCTATCTACTAGTTGCACTTAATTGACACGTCAACTACAGAACTTAGCACTCTGGAAAGCAGGTGCATGTTTGAAACCGAGCGTGGCCTCAAAGTATTTACATAATTGCAAATATTTTCAAGCTACACCAGATGACTCATAAAGGCAGTTCACCACATCAACACCACTTAGTATGGCATTATGTAAGATTCCACTGTAGTAAACTTTAAATAAACTAATTAGTATGGCATTATGTAAGATTCCACTGTAGTAAACTTTAAATAAACTAATGTCCTATTCTATTTAGGGGCTGCTTCATTTATGTATGTGGCAAATTATTTCCAAAAAGACAAAAACTATTTAATGCAGTTGTGTAAACAGCCTGATTTGGCAATAAGTCTTAGTTTAGACTCTTCTTTAAGTTGTTACTTGTAAAAAAAAAAACATTGACAATAACAATTCTTCAGGTAGACCTGCAACTAACACATATTCTGATCTCTGTTATCTGTCATCTCTATCATCTGAAAATGATTATTTTTCCTAAATATTTAGTGTTTAAAATGTAATATGTAAATGTTATAAAATATATCATCTCCCAAAAAAAAGTGGTTTCCGCTCTTTTTACCCACTTACCATTCATATATGACAAAGAAAAGCATAAAAACCTCACATTTGAAAGTCTTTAACCAGCAATTGTTTGAAACTGCAATGATGACACAACACTGTCTTATTCATGATTTTAAAACTTGATACGGCCTCTTTTAGGTTTAAACTAAATGCAACAAATGTATCTGGTTTGTTGGCTTCTCCAAATTTGTTTCGTTATTGAGCACAGGAAAACAGCAAAATGTGAACTACAGTACCCTTCTCATTTCAATCATATTTCAAGCGAGACACTTCATTTATTTTCTTTACTGTAAAGTTTTATTAAACCCTATCTGGGTTCATTGAGCACTGCTTGGCCGTCCACTGGCTGCATGTCGGCTCTCTGGCCTCAACAGGCTCTGGTCTGGCTGTCGACCATGGCTGCACAGCTGGGCCCGCTTGTGTCGGCCGGCCCCCCCGCCCCCCCCCCCTGTTGTTTTGGGTTAGATAATGTTATTCTTCAGAGGGCTGGGCCAACTACCCACTCACTGCATTAACCCTGGCGTAATGCCTCCTCCAACTCGCTGCTCTTTCCCATTAGTGTCACTCGCATTTACAAACACACATACAGATGTAAAAAGAGGATACGAAAATATACAAAAGCCTATGCAAATGTGTTGCTTGTTATTCGCTGTCACACTGAGAATAGGAGGATTTTCTTCAACTTTCCCAACACTTCAAACAGTGAGGAGGAGGAGGAGGGTTGAATGTGTTTAGATGGCTATCTATGTTGGCTCTCTTTCAGCAGAGAAATATGGCACAAAATCCTGGCATAGTGTATTCCCCCCATGGAGTTAAAAGGTCAAAGCACAAGTACACTTTACATAAATTCATAATCCCCGACTTTCTTCAAAAGAACAGAGCGCTCATTGTCAAACTGCTCCTCAAAGAAAAGGTATTGCTTTGAGACAGCAGATGAAGCCATTATGAAAATAAATACTGTAATTCTGTCCGTTTTTCTCCCATTCCCATGCAGAAACACTGTGCACTTCACACACAAACTAGTCCAAACACAACTCTACTTTGAAAGTGCTAAAACACCTGCGTACCCCAGTCCTGACCTTCCTTGAAATACGTAGTAAACCCACATCCTTACAAAGTGAGCCAATAGTCTTTGTCAGATGTCAAAACGACTTGGAGGTGCCACTCTCAGATGGACAGGTCTCATTTAACTAATCGCTGCACTCTGAAAACAGCCACAGCTTTATGTCACAAACCTCACCACTGGGGGAGGGAATGTCAATACAACTTCAAGCCCCCATCATCAGTGACAATGACAAGTCAGCAGTTTGTCATGGCATGTAAGTAAATAGGTACATCCATTTTAGATTCCAGTACCAACATTTAGAAACAAAACGCTATTTTAAAGGTCCCCTATTATGCTGTTTTTCATCAATATATTATAGGTCTCAGATATATACAAACATGTCTCTGAAGTGTTTGGCTCGAAATACCAAACAGATTGTGCATGCTACAATGC